AATACCATATCTTAGAGATTTCTTATTTCATTCTATCTTCATATTCTCAATAATTCATAGATCCAAATATATATATACACCATATCTTCCGCATAATATAAGATGAGAAATATCTTCGGTTGAACCAATAACCTCAATTCCAAATAAGACACTGGGCCGGTCCACCATCTGCCAGACTTCTAGAAACTGCATGAATTTCGGCGGATCTTCCATCCATGAACACATGCAGAACATGCACCTCCCTTGCTTTCTGTAGAATCGAGTCGCTGGTCGTCGTCTACTCCTCACATCATGGTCCATAGGCTGCCACTGCTTCCTGAGCCAGTCGCTGCGTCTCAACGAAGTTTCTGCTTTTGGGAACCCAGTAACCATATTATGATAAGGGCACCCCTTTCTTGGGTTGGTTACTTTCTAAGGGAACCCATAAACAAAAAAAGTGTAAAGGGTACCACTGGGCTACGAAGTGCTGCAAAACATGCCACCCACCTGCTCGACCCCAAGGTCCCGGTACTAAGACTGCATCAGAACTCAACTGCCGGCCACGTTAGGGGCCCACCGGCCCACCGGATGTGGGGACCTTGAGCAAAAACCCTGAAGCTACGGACGCGCCAAGTCTCCACTTCGCGGAGTTTGGTCTGGGTGTGGCTCCAAACCTCGGGTTGGGTCCATCTTCAAGCTTCTAAATGTTGGGGGTCTATGGAATCGTCCAGACATAGGGTTCATGGCAGAGATGGTAGGGGCACAAGAGTGGGGAGCGTTGAACTCTGAACCCGCCTTCAGCCACAATCCATGGCCAGAGGCCTTGGATTTGCCGAACTCGAAATCCATAAAATCCTTAAAGGCCCGGTCCGATCCATCCTAATCCCTCGATCTGAAGTAGTTGGTAGGGTATATCCGCCGAGGCCTCGGGCGGTGCGTGTAGGGTGGCACAAAGCAGGCTCCCCACCATTTTTTCCTGCGATGGGTACCCCCCGAGGCAAACGGGGGTGGCGGCGCGGACACCGCAACAGGACCAGGGCAGTTTTGGCCTTGACACACAGGGACCGCCCCACCGCTGGCCTCCCCGACCCCCGCGGTGCGTGTGAAACCTGGTGCGCAGCACGTCGCGCTAGGCATGCCTCTGTTGCGCATGCGGTTTAGGGTTTAGAGTTTAGGGTTTAGGGTCTAGGGTCTCGGGTCTGGGGTCTAGCATCTGGCGTTGATGCATGAGGCGGCTACATGCGTCCTGGCCAAACTGCCTCTGTGACCCTGCGCAGCTGCAGAGCTTACCGCAACCATGCACATGCTCACGGGGCTGCGCTGGGCCAGGCGAGGCGGGTCGCGTAGCGTCAAAATCAGGGTTACCCCTGTTGTGGCGGTAACTTCTGCTGCCGCGAGGCTTCGTCAATGGTCTGCATGCCATCGATGCTAAACACCATTCGCTGCTTCATGTACCTTGGCATGTCGACGTCCGAAGCGGCTACGCCCTCCGTAATCGTCTGCTCTAGAGGAGCAACAGCTATGCGCAAGCCTAGCTAGGGTTTAGGGTGTAGGGTTGAGGAGCAAGGGTTTAGGGCCTAGGGCTTAGGGCTTGTGGTTAGAGTTTAGGGTTTAGGGCTTAGGGAGAAGGGTTTGGGGTGTAGGGTTTAGGGCTAGGGCGACGTCCCTCCAAGGGCAGCATGGCCCTTCCCCTTGCTATCCCTTTCTGCTCACGAGCCAATTACTGCAGCCCGGGAGGCTTCTCGACGATCGGCTTCGTCTCCTGCGAGTGTTCTGAACCCCTCAAACGGTTGTACCCATGAGCACTGTGAGGTTTGGGGTTTCAGGTCTACGGCTTAGGGTTTCAGGTTTCGGAGTTAGGATTTAGGGGGCTAGGGACCACTGCGACTGTGCATCAGGTGAGCTGCTTCATGGCACGTGTGGCCACATATTCATATTTCTCAACTCTAATATAGCCTCATTCATGTGCAGTGTCCTGCTCGTAGGTCCGGAAGCGCTTTCGGATGCTTTCGAGGTTGTCGTCAACACGCCCACCTGAAGCACCAACGCAAGCGACGGGAAGCGAGATTCGTGAGCCGTCGATGCGAAGACCCCACGCGTATTTAGCAAGCCCACCTTTCTCAACTAATGAGAGTTTTGTGGTTACCCCTGTGTTCCCTAACCTCTTTTAAGTGTTCGTGGTATAGTCCGCGATACAGCCGCGATTCGCGCTCATGCGATAGTCACGCGATCGCTAATCACGGCTGTCTCACGGGCTATGACTAATTTAATTAGAGAGGTTACCGGCTTGCAGGGTTACCGGGCCACTCTCTTTATCAACAGCCTGACCGCCGCCTACGACCCGAAACTCCGATCCTGAGTCCCTTAACACTTAACTCCACATCCTACTAACCCTAAACCCTATTTAAACCCTAAACCCTAAACCCTAAACCCGAAACCCTAAAAAAGGCGAAGCCTGAGTTGGATGAATGCGGCGAGGCAGCTCGTGGACGAACGCTCCAACAGCCGCTTCCTCAGTTGAGGGGCTTCGGGTCTTAGTCGGGACTGCGGTTTTGAGGGGTTGTTCAGGGGCTTAGGGACCCTTGTGATATTGAGGGCTTTTAGGGGGGGTTGGGGTTTCGGGTTTCGGGGTTTAGGGTTGAGGGGTTGAGGGGTTTAGGGTTTAGGGTTTAGGCTTTGGGGCTGAAGCGTTCAGGATGCTGTGGCAAGTTGGGGCTTAGGGCTGAGATCCGAAAACCCTGAAGCCTCCCTCTACCCCTAACGCCTAAACCCTAAACCCTTATTTTTTTCTTTAATTTCATTTTAAACCCTGAACCCTAAGCCTCTTAAGCCTCTCTCTTCCCATGGTCCCAGGTTCTCCATTTCTGTTTCTGTGGCCTCGAAGAAGAGGACGCCAAGCACCTGGGCTTCGACAACCGCACTGGGGTTTAGGGCTTAGGGATGCTTAGGGGGTTTCGGGCTAGTACCCCCAAAAGGACACCCAAAACATGCACTTACCAATATCCATAGGCAGCCGCTATACACTCACCAATATCAATCATATGGACCCTACCGAAAGTATAGTTCTGTTGGATAGGCATACGATTGAAGAATAGTAGGAAGTGATAATAGTAGCAGCAGCGGCAGCAGCAAAAGCAGTCGAGTAGTCGTACAATAGCAGAAGGAGGAGTAATGGAAGTCATCGTCGTAGTAGTTGTTGTTAGCATCGTCGTAGTAGTCGTGGTATGGTAGTTGTCGTCGCGTCATGTAGTAGGCGAAGTAGGCGTCGTCGCCATAGTAGTGTTAGGAATTAGTGGTTTGACACGTTTTCATGCTTGCACGGGGCTGAGAAATTCCATGAAGAAGTCACGAGTCTTGTTTCGCGCTTTGGATTTGCGACGTGATGTGAAGGTCTTTTATGACACCCTAAGCGTTTGCCCTTTAAGCACTGCAACAGTGCAAGTGTTCTCAAAAGTTTGAGCTTTTCAGGCTTAAGCGATGCAAGTGTCTATGTTCAACCTGAAACCTACTGAGATGCTATAGCTGTCCCCTCCACGCGCCGATTCCTAAGCCCCCGAGATTCCAAAATCCCAAGGCCTAGGCCCGAAACCCCAACGTCCCTGAGATCCCCCAACACCCTCAAGAACCCTAAATCTTAACCCTAAACCCTAAACCCTCAAACCTAAACCTTAACAAACCCTAAGCACTAAGACAAAAACAGAGAAGATTCCCTGTGTTGACGCGTGGGCACATCGGCTCCGTCGCCGATGACCTGCTCCCAGCCAGTAACCTGCAGGAGCGGTTCTGTTTAGATTCGGGTCCCTGGTTCCCCATTCACATACATACAAATAAATATATAAATATGTGAACATGCATTTCTTGTATGTGAAATAATAATAATAATAATACATGTACATGTACATGTACATGTACATATACATATACATATACATACACATCTAAAACTAAATGTACATACAACTAGATATACATATATATATATATTGCATATACAACTAAGTATAAATAGAAATAAATAAATAGATATACATATTATACACACATGTATATCTGTGTATCATGTACTCATTTTCATGCATCTACAAGCAAACTCCTCACCCTCTCTCCCATCCGGTCGGGCTGCGTTGTCCAGATTTCTCGGGAAGCCATCAATCAGGAAGTCCGTCTTTCCCAGCGCCATGTCCCTTCGCATGGCCTGGATCGGGACTAGACTTGGCATCCTAGCAAAAATCACAATGTTCGGGTTTCAGGGTTGAGGGTTTAAGGTTTAGGGTTTAGGGTTCCTTAGGGATTATAGTAACCAAAAGGGAAGGAATGCAGGGCACCATCCGTTCGAAGAAATGAAGCCGAAACTGCCCCACGGCTGGTGGGCGTGGTGCTTCGTGTTTAGGGTTTAGGGTTTAGGGCTTAGGGCTTAGGGTTTAGGGCTTAGGATTTAGGGAACAAGCTAGTCGTTCATCTTTGTCATCAGAAAACACCTCACATCCTGTTGCCCCCGTGGCCCTGTGATGCCCGCCCCATCCCTCTGCCAGAACATGGTGAGGAAACCCTAAACCCTAAACCCTAAACCATAAAACCCTAAAACCCTAAACCCCTAAACCCCTAAACCCCTCAACCCTAAACCCTAAACCCTAAACCCTAAACCCTAACCCTAAACCCTAAACCGCGTTTCTTTGTGAGCAAGTGGAAAGCGGGGCCGTGCGTCGCCTGACTAAACCCTAAACCCTAAACCCTAAACCCCAAACCCTAAACCCTACACCCTACACCATACACCCTAAACCGCCAATGCACCCGAGATCTGTCACTCTGAGCCTTCTCCAGCAGTCTCACGGTGATCTCAACCGGCACAATCTTCCCCTCCTGCAAAAGGGGTTTAGGGTTTAGGGTTTAGGGTTTAGGGTTTAGGGTTTAGGGTTTAGGGTTTAGGGTTTAGGGTTTAGGGTTTAGGGTGTAGGGTTTAGGGTTTAGGGTTTAGGGTTTAGGGTTTAGGGTTTAGGGTTTAGGGTTTAGGGTTTAGGGTTTAGGGTTTAGGGTTTAGGGTTTAGGGTTTAGGGCGACTCGGCTGACTCCAATGAGGCATGGACCGCTTTGCGGTGTCCTTGATGAAGGAGTTGATGAGCTCCCCATCCTGCGATGTGGGGTTTAGGGTTTAGGGTTCTGCACCCGCCTGCACCCACCTATCTACCCTAAACCCTAAACCCTAAACCCTAAACCCCAAACCCTAAACCCTACCCCAATTAAGCTCGAAACTCCAAGATGCCGCCCAAAACACCCAAGATCCGCAAGAAGGGCGCAGTCCTTGGAGTTCGGATCGCTCCGCTCTGCCCGGAGGCAGTCGCCAGCAGAGATGTGGGACCAGTGGGGGAAGTGCGCGCAGATATTCGCACCTCGTGGGCTCGCCATGGGTTTCGTAGGGTTTAACCCGTTTCAACCCTAAACCCTAAACCCTAAACCCTAAACCCTAAACCCTAAACCCTAAACCTCAAAAACAGCTTCGATATTCGCATGGCCCTGAACCCTAAAACTCCAGAGTTCACAGCCACAAAACTACCCGAAGCCCCCGGCGTCTCTGGTGCCAGGCAGCACTGCGTTCCCTTGCCAGCCCCAGGGCCGCCCAGCACGAAAACCACCTGGGAGCCCAAGGGTTCAGGCAAGTAGGGGTTTCGGGGGGTTTGGGTTTACTTAAGGGTTTAGGGCCCTAGGGCCCTGGGGCTTGGGGGCTTGGGGGCTTAGGATTGGGTTAGAATGATTCCAGGGTTGACCAAGTGTTGGTTTTGAGGTCTAGGTTTTTTTCGTGCTCTTGTGTCTCAGCCCTAAGCCCTAAGCCCCCTAAACCCAGCCAGGGCGCTCGAGGCTTCGCCGGCGACGCCGGCTTTGGGGGCGGCGAGCTTTGCACCGCCGATGCGGGGGTTGACGCGGGGGCCGACGCGGCCGCCGATGCGGGGGCCGATGCGGGGGGCTTGGCCTTGGCTTCATGGGCAGGACTCAGAACGGGTTTAGGGCCGGTACTGCAGGATTTAGGGTTTAGATTGGGGAGGTTTCCGAAATTGGGGTGCCTCATCACGGTCCCTCCTATCAGGATCCTACTATTTGGGGGTCTAGTTTAGGGGTCCCCTATTTTCCAAACCCCCAAATAATGGCGTTGAGGGGTTAGCTTTTGCTTCTGCTTACTTTCTGGTGTATGGGGATGGGGTGTAGTATCACAGGCCCTGCCAGCCCCTCCCCTTCCTCCGTGCAGCTGAGGCACTGCCGGCGGGCTTGCACTGCCCTTCCTGTTCGTTTGCACATGTGAATTTGGAATTTTAACCGAGGATGGCCCCTAAAACCCTCTGAATATACTCAGAAATATGATCCTCTTGAACCCAAATAAGGGAAAATATGACATGTCCTAAAGGCCTACCCAGGAACAGTTGCGACGTTTAGGTCGGAATCACTGCAAGCCCCAAGAAGAGGTTCGTGGCCTGAGCGTGTCTTTTTGCTGCTTCCTGCCTGGTGGCGTCTGACATGTCTTGTCGTATGGCACATTCCCTAACATTGGGGGCATATCCGGTAAGACCTTCCCCTGTGAAGCAGGCTTCTCAAGTCGAGTCCAGACCGGGGGAGGCATCAAAATGATTCAAGCGGGGCGCGTCTAGGGCTCCGGGTCCAGGGTTCAGGTTTGCGGGCTTAGCCTCCCGCGCCCAGAAAAACAAAAACTAAACCCCAAACACCCCTAAACCCCATCAATCGCTTCCCCCTCCTCGCCGGGTAGAGGATGGAGTTGGTGTTGACTGTCTCGAGGCGCTCCTTCGCAAAGAGCGGCGGCGAGGTCCCGAAGCAGCTCCGCACCTGCTCGCAAAAGAGCTTTTGAGGTGGAGTTGGGTCTGGGGTTTAGGGTTTTGGGTTTCGGGTTTAGGGTGTAGGGTGTAGGGTTTAGGGTTTAGGGTTTAGGGTTTAGGGTTTAGGGTTTAGGGTTTAGGGTTTAGGGTTTAGGGTTTAGGGTTTAGGGTTGAGGAATTTGGGGGTTTTGGGAGTTTAGGGTCTTTGGGGGCTGGGTTTAGGCGGCTATGGGTTGCTCAAGGAGTGGTTTTGCTGATGCTGCGCACCATCCGAAAGCAATAGTCATGGCCTCTTAACAGTGACGCAAGTCATGATACTGCAGGCGATATCGACTGTGATAACGGTGCCTTCACATGACTTACAGCGAAACAGAAGTAGCAACAACAACGGAAACAGTACTAGTGATATGGATAAGCCAAGGGGGTCCCCTGTCGTCTGCAACGCTTGGCTCCGGGCGTACTGTGCCCAGGACAACGGGCCCCAGGTCGCCCAGTAGGAAGACTTCCTTTGGGAATGGTTTGCGAAGGTTAGGGTTTAGGGTTTAGGGTTTAGGGTTTAGGGTTTAGGGTTTAGGGTTTAGGGTTTAGGGTTTAGGGTTTAGGGTTTAGGGTTTAGGGTTTAGGGTTTAGGGTTTAGGGTTTAGGGTTTAGGGTTTAGGGTTTAGGTGTTAGGGTTTAGGGTTTAGGGTTTAGGGTTTAGGGTTTAGGGTTTAGGGTTTAGGGTTTAGGGTTTAGGGTTTAGGGTTTAGGGTTTAGGGTTTAGAGTGTCTCTGTCTCAGCAAACGGCCCTCCAGACATGCGTCACTCATCGCAGCTGTCGTGCTAGGTCGCTTCTTGGCTTTCTTTTCCTTGAACTTTGGATGATGTTTACGCGTATTCCTAGTCACTCTGCGCCTGGTATTTCCCAAGGGTCAAACATGACGGCGGGTACTATCCAGCTGCTTCATTCATGATGCCAGATCGGCTCGCGCGCCAATTGTGTTGCCTGATGCCTTCTATCACACGGAGGAACTGATGACACACAGCTTTCTCGGAGGGCATTATGCACAAGAGAGTCTACGCACCCCCCCCCCCCCTTGCCCCATGCACAGGTTACTACGCGCCGTTGTCAAGCAACAGAGACCTGTGCAAGAAAGGTTGCAGTATGCCGCTTTTGCATCTGAGGAATGTGGAAACATGAAAATACATGAAAATGCGCATAAACTCTGTTACGTACACGACTGCTGAGAAAGCTGACAGACGCGTAGAGTCGTAGAGGTCCCCTAGCCAACAAAAAATGCACACTCCCAACCCACCAGCATGCGAAGGTGATGAATGTAAGACCTTTGAAGTGAAAACCGCAAATCTCTCTCTTGCTTCCTTGCTTTGCTTCCTTGCTTCCTTGCTCCCTTGCTTCCTTGCTTCCTTGCTTCTTTGCTTCCTTGCTTCCTTGCTTGCTTCCTTCCTTCCTTCCTTCCCTCCCTCCGTTTCCTTCCTTCCCTTTCCTTCCTTCCCTTTCTTTCCTTCCTTTCCTTCCTTCCAGCGCTCACGCCCCCCCCCCCCCCCCGGAGGTGCGGGGAGCCGCCCTCTCTCTCTGTCTTTGTCTCTGTCTCTGTCTCAGTCTCAGTCTCAGTCTCAGTCTCAGTCTCAGTCTCTGTCTCTGTCTCTGTCTCTGTCTCTTCTCCCTCCTCTCAGACAGCTCCCCTGCTCATGGTTCAGCCAGGCCGCGGCGGAAACAGAAACAGCGACAGGACCTCAACCCACACAGGTGCCCTCCCTCGTGATCCTTGCGTTCCGGGCGTTTGGCTACAAACCCTATCGTGCAACAGCAGCTCAGGCCCGCGCGCAGCCTCCGCAGACTGCGCCGAAGGCGAAAAGACGCAGAGACCTTTAGGGCAGGGGTTTAGGGTTTAGGGGTTCAGGGTTCAAGGTTATACCGCGCCGGGCGCGTGAAGCCATGCCCCAAAAGCGTTGCCTCACCATAGGCGTACGTAGTTCTCGAAGTTAGGGTCCCTCACCATCGCTATACTGACTGCGCTCGTGTCCTACGTCGCGCCCAATTCTTGTAGACGCGTGATTTTGTATGGGACTGTCCTTATCAGTTTGAAGATCCAGATTTGTGGGATCTGTTTCTTGATGTGGCAAGCGTGCACATTGGGAGCATACGGCTTGTCAAGCTCAAAGCACACACACACACCACAGCAGAAACTTCGCAGTTCCTCTTCTCACCGCAAGGAATGAGCAAGTTGATGCTTTAGCGAAAGCCACAGCTACAGCACGTTCTTCCGATCATTTGGCAAGGTTTCGCCCTGATCTCCAGCAGGCAGTTTCCGTGCAAGTTCATTTGGTTGCTACTTTAGTTCAGCGCTCGGCAGCTTGCCAGCTGGCACCTTTTGATGAGGACGAACTGGTCTCTGCAGGATTAACGCAGACTGTGATCTGCACTTGTAATGCTATAGCAATTGTCATTTAATGGGACATTCCGTTCTGCTTGAGGATGTTGAGACAAAAAGGTGCTGCAGATGTACAGAACGAATACTTTACCACCTGATGTCCTCTTTGATTGCCTTGGGCGCAGATATCTCGGCTTTTTTCGCGCCCACGCTACCAAGCTACTCAACACATGCGCACGCTGCGCGTGCTCCATTTTCTTTGGACCGAACACAAGCTCAAGGACCAGGCTCATAAAAAATCGCAGAAGGCCGGGGGGGGCAGGGTGGGGGGGGGCTCATGAACCAACCGCCTCGACAAGCGACGGCGAAGTGAAGACTTGGCCCAAAGAAAACGTGACAGGTGCGGTGGCCTTGAGTGCTCGTCTCGCGCACTCGCGCAAGCTGGCCCAAAAATCCGCCCAGGCCTCTTCCGTCCCTGCAAACTGACAAAGGCTCCAAGCGCCTTTCACTGGCCTCCGAAAGTGTGACCTTCCCTGCGCCCTTGGCGCTTCGTGCCCTGACCGTCGAAAGCCTCAACCCTGACCTTCCGAAGCCGAAAGCAAGAACCTGTGTAAACCATCCGGACCCTGAACTAAGTCCTAAGCCTTAGCTCTCAAACCTATCCTTGCCCTAAACCCTAAACGCCCTAAGCCCAGGGCTCAGGGTTTAGGGCTTGGGGACCTTGAGCTGCCCAAACTTGGCTTTCTGGGCAGCGGGCTCGCACTGCTGCTTGTACTCGGGATAGGACAGTGCCGGCTTAGTAAAGAACTCCTTGCAGGCGGGGAGGCCGAGGTGTGGAAAGATGGTAAACCCTAAACCCTAAACCCTAAACCCTAAACCGGCCGATGTTCACAGTTTGTGATTTCGAGCTGTAGGGCTTCAGGGTTTCGGGCTTGCCGTATGAGTTCGACCAGGCTCTGTCTTGCTCAGTTGGCTCAAACCCTGGGGCATATACACTCACAAAGAGCTGCAATATGGGCCCTATTGCACATGGCTTCTTCTGCGGGTCTGCCGTCCTTCGCCTTCTGCACCTGCCCCTCAAAGTCAGTCAGCCGAGGCCCGCGAGTCGAATCCCCCAGATGTCGCCTGCGATCATGTTGTACATCTAGGGTTTAGGGTTTAGGGTTTAGGGTTTAGGGTTTAGGGTTTAGGGTTTAGGGTTTAGGGTTTAGGG